TGGCTTTCAAAGCTCCTAGCTCCCCTGAATTGTCAATTCCAGAGGAGCTCACTGGTTTTTGGTCCTTCTCTTTCCCCATCCATAAAGCATTCTGTCAGCCAGCTGGATATGACTGTGGAGTCCATTCATGGGAGAGAAAGGGGTTGGGGCAGCAGCATTAGTTCCTGATACTTGAGGGTGGGAAAGGTGTAGAAGAGCAGAAATGGGCTCAGAGCCCCATTCTATGCCTCCACTCCTACATGCTCCTGTCTTCAAAGCTACTTTTGTAATATTTTATGTATTTACCAATCCCGGTGTGGAAAATACACCTTTGGAAGGAAATCTGGTAAATAAAATGCAGTTAGGTAAGCATTTGAAACCAGTGAGTTTTTAACCTAGACAATGAAACAAAAATGAGGAATCAGGAGTCATTTCAGAACTGCAAAAGCAAGCATTTGTACCAGGCAGAATCGACAATCAACACTTCATGGTGAACTTGGGTATATCGACTATTCTCAAGAAAATGCAAGAAGTTGTAAATTTTGTGGACATGTCAAACATTAAGTATAGATCTCAGGATGGAAATTTTCTTTTTTTTCATTTTGAAAATACCATACAGAGAGGTTACAATTACATGGGCAAGATAATGAGTACATTTCTTATCAAGCATTGTTGCCTCCTCCTTTGTTTCCCCTTCTCATCCCTTCCCATCTCCCCCGCTCCTGTCCCCCCCCACCCCCACCGCCTGCCAAAGTTGTAAAGTTCATTTTTTGACATAGCGTCTTATACATCTCATTGTTGCAATGGGTCTACCTGTATCCCTATTTAAACAATTTGTTTTTTCCCTTCCCCTCCACAAATTATACCAACATCAAATACAGTGAAAACAGGGGTTATACCGTGGGGGAGGGACATACAAAGCAACAGAGAAATCATTTTATAAATATGTTAGAAACAATCAGGAAATTTTCTTTAATGCATGTACTCATTGTTGGGCAAACCATATTTTAAAGGAGATTCCAAAAAGAGTCAATGTTTATAAGAATCAGTTTTTGTCCCAGTACTGAGAAAGACATATAACACGCATTGCTTAGCTGGCTTCATCATCATAAATAAGGCTTCATCATCAACAAAATAAGGACTCGTTTTCATTGAACACAGGCAATAAACTTACCCAAGGGCCTGTGCTAGTCACTGGGCCCTGGGTGCTGAGCTCTGATCTGCACCCCTGGAGTGGCTCAATACCCCGTGTCTGTTGGGTTTGGTTATAATCTATTCTCTGGCTAAATAGTGTGAATATTAACCTCCATCCAGTTCCCACATTCCTTCCATTTTACTCCTGTGCTATTGTTCTGTGGAATAAGTTTGAAAACAAATAAAATCATTAGGGAAAAATTTCCCCAATAACAGAATGGACATTTCCTGGATCTACCTCACAAAGGAGTGGTCAACACGCTAGTGTAGCTTCCTAAAGCTGTTCTAGTAAGTTACCAAATATACAAGTAACACATTATCATCTCTGGAGGCTGGTAACTCATTTCTGGAGGCTTGGAGTCCAAGACCAAGGGGTGAGATGGAATAGCTCCCTTTGCAAGTATCAGATAGCAGTAAGGTATCTCTGTCTCTTGATACCAGTTTTACTCTGGATATATCGTCTCTGTGTCCAAGTTTCTCCAGTTTCCTTTTTTTTTTTTGGTGCCATTCCTGGGCCTTGAATTCAGTGCTCTGAGCTTTTGTGCTCAAGGCTAGCGCTCTACTACTTGAGTCACAGTTCCATTTCTGGCTTTTTGGTAGCTATTGGAGATAAGAATCTCATGAAGCTGGGCGCTGGTGGCTCACACCTGTAATCCTAGCTACTCAAGAGGCTGAGATCTGAGGATCGAGGTTCAAAGCCAGCCCGGGCAGGAGAGACCGTGAGACTCCTATCTCCAATAAACCACCAGAAAACCGGAAGTGGCGCTGTAGCTCAAGTGGTACTTTGAGCTGAAGAGCTGAGGGACAACGCCCAGGCCCAGAGTTCAAGCCCCACGACCGACCAAAAAAAAAAAAAAGAATCTCATGAACTTCCCTGTCCCTGAAGGTTTAGGGCTCCTGAATAGCTAGGATTACAGGCGCGAGTTACTGGCCACTGACACCCAGCTAAAGTTTCTCTTTTTCACAGGGTCATTTAGATTAGGACCTTTTTTTTTTTTTTTTCCTTGGGCCTGGGTGCTGTCCCTCAGTTCTTCAGCTCAAGGCTAGCGCTCTACCACTTGATCCACAGCACCACTTCCGGCTTTTTTCTTTTTGCTTATGTGGTGCTGAGGAATCAAACCCAGGCCCTCAGAGGCATGCAAGGCAAGCGCTCTACCACTGAGCCATCTTCCCAGCCCGGATTAGGACCTTCTTTACCACCTTTTTACTTGATCAAGTAAATAGAGGTAATCACCTCTATTAAGACCCTTTTTCTAAATTAGGATACATGCGCTGTTCTGATTAAGGACTCCAGCATATCTCTTTGAAGGATATATAAGATGACCCAGAACATCCAGGCAGCCTTATAGAATGGGTTCCTTCTCCACTCCCAGCTCCTGGTGGGTCTTTCCTTTCCTTCCCAGCCATCCACTGTAATTAAGGGCAAACTATTATGAGGCAGCATAAGAAGAAAGCCAAAGACTACATGAACTTGTTCTTCCTCTCATCATTTCCCTTCATCTCATGCCAGTAAGTGGCACATTGCCCGGGCAGTCACTGTGCACCACATGCACCAGGGAAAACAAAAATAAAACAGGTGCCAGAGTAAGGAGAACCTCACAGGCTGTAGCCTGAGTCTAGATGTGATTGCTTTGGGGAATATTAACCTCCTGATTTTCTCTGCCTGCATGCCTAGGTGTGCAGTGTGGGGCTCTTCAAGTAACTGATTGTTTAACTTAATAGTGACTAGAAGACACCTTGATGGAGCTAAGGAAAACCTGCCAGCTCTTTTTACATAATCCTACCCCAACCACCCAAGCTTGCAGTAGAAAGGACTCTCTGTTAGGGAGGTGTGCTAAGAGATTTACAGCTCCAATTCTTGTCTTCCAAAGTCATCTTTGTCTTATGAACTCTTGTAAGTTGAACATGAGGCCCAAGGAAGGTTGCGTCCCTTCTAGTACTCCTTCTCTCAAAGGCATCTTTTCTAAAGAAGTTCTATCTTCTCTGTCAATTAAGTGAGGTGTCTTCTGTTGGGCTGATGATCAGAAGACATGGAAAGGATTAAAATAATTGCTTGTATGTGTTTGTAAGGGCACATGTGCATGTGTGCATGTGGGAGGTATTGGGGTTTGAACTCAAGGCCTGGGTACTGCCCCTTGGCTTTTCTTTTTTTTGCTCAAGGTTAGCACTCTTCCACTGAGCCACAGCTCCATTTCCCACAGATTTGCCTTCCTGGGCTGGCTTGGAAGTAGAATCTTCAGATCTCAGCCTCCTGAGTAGTGAGAACTACAGGCATGAGCCACCGGTGCTCCGCCCATAGCACACATTTTTGCTTTTAGTCAGTGCCTACTAAATATTTGTGTGGTTGAATAGAGGTACAAATAGCCAGCAGGGCTGAAGTCATTTGTGGGGAGTACCTAAGGCTCAAAAACTCACCCACTTGCCAAGATAGTTCAGCCACCTTCCAAGGTCAGCTTTACCCTGTCCCCAGCCCGTGGCTCTGAGCTGATGAGAAAATCCATTCTGAGGACAAGGCTTTACTCAAACAGGGCTGTTTTATGGGATGTTGGAGGGGAGTTCCCAGGGGCATCTGTTAGTTTTAGCTTCCTCTTGGGACCCCCATGCATCTTATGTCCGGAGCTGTGCCCTGTGTGAGCTGGTGGTTAAAGTCTATCAGAATGTCCCTGTTCTCAAGAACCTCAGAGACAAGCAAGTATAAAAGAGACAGTCACAGCTTTCCCTCCAAGGACATCAGAGGCTGAGATCATTGGTACAAGGCTGAAAAGAATGATAGTAATGTTAAACTTACATTACTTGAATGCTTATTAGTGACTAGCCCTGTGTTAAGCATGCTCTCTATGGTTGGTTTACGTATCCCCTCTCATCATGAATAACACTTCCAAAAGAAAGGAAAGAGGCTCTGGAGCTAGAGATTTGGTTGAAATCTCATCCTTGCCTTTTTGCAAATTATATATCCTTACAGAAGTTTCTAAATCTCTCTGAACCTCAGTTTCCTTACTAGGAAAAGGCTAGTAGTAATAATCATACCCGCATTATAATATAGTACAGGATGACATCAGGTAATACATGTAAAATGATGAGTCAGGCATCTGGCACAAAATAAGCATTCAAACACATACTAGTTGTGATGATGATGATGATGATGATGATGATGATGATGATGATGACAACGACGACAGCCTATGGTAAATTCCTGGACTGAAGTAACAAAGTCCCATAAGCCAAATAGCTTTAAGCTATTTCAGAGTTCTGGAGACTAGAAGTCCAAGATCAGGTATTCATGGATTGGTTCCTTCTTAGGCCTATGAGGGAGAATCTGTTCTGTGCCTTTCTCCCAGCTTCTGGGAGCCTCAGCCATTCCTTGGCTACAATTGTAGTAGGTGGGAGTCATCTATCTATGTCTCTTCATATTGCCTTTCCTCTCTGGGTCTCTATTTCCCCTTTTACAAGGACACTAATCCTATTGGATTAGGGCCTACCCCAAGGACCCTTTAGTCTGATCACATCTAAAGATCCCAACCTATCGACAGTACCTTACGCTATCCTACCAAGTAAGGCCACCTTCTCAACATTCCAACATACCTTTCATGGGAGACATAATTTAGTCCATAGCACAAGGCTAAGTAACTCACTTAAGTCACCTGGCTTGTTAGCGATGAATCTGGTCCTGTAGCCTAGGATTATTAGATGCCAAATCCCATGGTAGAAATGGCAATAGAGAGGCCCAACACTGCTGAACTTCCTCTGGAAAGAAAGTACAAAAGAAAGATGTTCAGAGCCTTCCACAGTGGCACTGATAGCCTTTTCCTGTTATTCTGCCTCCACAGCCTGCCTGCTCCAGGCGGAGCTGGTAAACTATGAGCGAGTCAAGGAGTACTGCCTCAAGGTTCTGAAGAAGGAAGGGGAGAACTTCAAGGCCCTTTACCGGTCTGGGGTGGCTTTCTACCACCTTGGGGACTATGACAAAGCGCTCTACTACTTGAAAGAAGCCAGGACTCGACAACCCACAGGTAAAGTGACTATCTCTGCTTTCTTAGGTCAGACCCCTCTGACAGCTCCTGAGCCACTTTATTGCATTGGACATCTTCCCGTGGCTGGCAGGGCCAGGTGAGAACAGAGAGGACCAATGAGGGGTCAGGTGTAGGACCTGGAATGAGGAGAGTGTGTGTGTATGTATATATATATATTCCATTCATTTACAAGAGTCTGGGTTCCAGGAATTATGGGTGTCTCTTCTCTTCAAGTACACAGAATCTTCTCTTTCCAACTTAAAGTTCAGCCCCCTTTACTTTCAATAAGTAAATACATATTATATATGACTATATGATTTATATTATATAATACATATTATATGTAACAGTATATATATAAATATATATATTGCATTCTTAGCATCAGCCATAGTCTGCTGAACAGCAGCACACATGTGGATAAAAAGACATCATACCCACCCATGGGAGGCTCACATCTGTTTGGAGACAGTACAGACCGAGAGTGGTGATGTTAAGCCCTGCACCTTTCCCAAAGTTTGCTCTCACTTCTCCAGTCAGATACCATCTTCAGAGCTTGAGTTATCTGCACCATCCCTTTAGATCATGTTCATTAGCTCACCCAGTCATTCCTCCACTCATTCCACGGGGAGTACAATGGGCCAGGAACTATTATAAGTGCTGAGTACCTAGTAGTAAACAGAAGAAAGTTGCTGCATGAGGTTCAGAGACAATGTCCAAGCACTCAGGACCTGAGACAGGAGGACCACTTGACACCAGCTTTGGCAACATAGTAAGGTCCCTCCTATTGTGAGAGACAGAGAGAGAGGGAGGTTAATATGTTTAAAGAACTTACATTTTACTGGAGGAGGATGGATAGTACAAATGGGAAAATAGCTGGCCTATGATTTAGTCATGGTAAATGCTATACAGTGAATAAAGCAGAGTGGACAGGGAGAGGTAATACTTTGACTTGTTATTTTTTTCATGTGGCTGATTTGTGTGTGGGGGTGTTTTTGTTTTTTGGGGCTTGGGTTTTTTTTTGTCTATTTGGGGTTTTTTGCAGTCCATCTTCCACCTGCAAATGTCTGAATATATGTTCTTTTTGTCTTTTTAAAACACTTTTTATTTTTATCTACTATATACAAATCGTGTTCTGACAGCTTTACTGTAAGCAACTTGAGGACTAAGAGTGAACTGGTTTCATGCAACAGAATTTTCTTGAGCACTTACATGTGCCAGTGCACTTCTGCATGGACTTTTGAGCATGAGGCAATGTTCATTTCTACACATGGGAGCAAACATCCCAGGTAACCATATAAGTCTTCTGCTCCAGACTGCAGAGCTCAGGAGCTGTTCCATGTCCTGCCTTCTTCACTAATTTGAGGACTGGGATGGGGGAGGGGTTGCTGAATGCCCTCACTGTGGAGTTCGTTGTCTGACCCTATTTCTGAAGACAAAAATAAGACCATGAAGCAAAGTCATTTGAAACTCCTCAGGCTAAACCAAGTGAGATTTAACTAATATTTATTGATCATTATATTAAGTAATTTTAGATTTACCTCACTGGTCCTCACTGCAATTTTATGTGGCCAATGGAAAAGGAGGCTTTGGAGTCAGACACACCAGTTACTATGTATCTGCTTGGGTATTTTATTTAATGTCTCCAAGTCCTAGCTTTCCCTTTTGTCACAGTGATCCTGAGGATGTACACTTCACACAACTGTAATGAGAATTAGATGGGATCATGAAGGCTAAAAATACCACAGCCGGGTATGGTTTCACATACCTGTAGTCCCAGCTACTCAAGAGGCTGGGGTGGGAAGATCGCTTGAGTATAGGAGTTCAAGGCTAGCTTAGGCAACAAAGTGAGTCCCCATCTCAAACCTGGTACAAAACTGGTACTCAGAAATGAAGTTTGGCCCGGCACTGGTAGCTTACACCTATTATCCTAGCTTCTCAGGAAGTGAGGTTGGAAGGATCATGGTTTGAGCACAGGCTATGACTAAACTTCATGCAACCTGCCCCCTCCCTCCGTCCTGCCCCCCCCCCCCCCATCGCAACAGCAACAGCCAGACACAGTGGCATGCACCTGTTTCCCCTAGTTACACACGGGCTGACACAGGACTGCACAGTTCCAGAGCAGCTTAGGCAAAAAACAATTTACAAGACCCTATCTCAACAGAAAAAGCTGGGTGTGGTGGTTGCATACCTATCATTCCAGATATACTAGAAAGCATAAATAGGAGAATTGTGGTCCAGACCAGCCTATCTCAAAAATAACCTGGGCAAAAGGGGCTAGGTGCATGGCTTGAGTGGTAGAGTGCCTGCCTAGCAAGATCGAATGCCTGAACATCAGAACAAAGAGAAATAAACAAATGAGTGAATGAATAAATAAATAGAATAAAAATCATTTCTTTCAGCCAAGACGTGAAACGTAGAGAAGTTGGTCATTTGTCTGAGGACCATCTCCAATTTGAATCTTCAGTTAGCTAGGCTGATTGGGGGCGCCCACTAAGATTACTGTTGCATAGAAATAGAAATAGGGGGAGAAATTCTCTCCTCTCCTTCCTGTCTGCTCCCTGGGCCATGGTGACCTGTCCACATTTGCTAAGGGGATGGAGTAAAGGAAGAGACCAGTCTGGCGCCCCTCTGAGCCTCCACCACCACCATGGTAAGACAGAAGGGCCTCAGGCTGAGCATGCGTGAGGCAGAGCTGGGCCTACACCTGAGCTGCAGACCCAGCTTTTGCCGAATCTTGTGCAGACCTCTGGTGCTGTTTCTCTCCTCGTAGACACCAATGTGATTCGGTACATCCAGCTGACCGAGATGAAGCTCAGCAGATGCTCCCAAAGGGAGAAAGAAGCCATGTAACCAGGAGCCCTCTCCGGAGCCGCGCCCATGCCTGACCGGGGACTCCAGGCCCCCGTGGTGGAGAGCCTCACCCTGGGTTCTGTCCCTTTCTTCCCACTTCTTCAGGCACCTTCTTCCTCCTCCTGTTGCTCCCCAACACTGTGTCTACTCCCAGTGCGAAAAGAAGGTGAGCAGCTCAACTGGAAGATGGTGGCTGCTCAGACATGGAGCCATCTTCTTCTGTTGTAGGTCAGTGCCTGAGGCAGGCCTTGCTTCCGTTGGGACGGCTGGGGAGGAGTCTCACAGTCTGGGGATGGAAATGGGGCCTGGACTTGGACCAGTGCTTCTGACAGGCAGCACACATGATGCCCACGGACTGGATCCTTCTACACCTTCCTGATACGCCAGAGCATCTTGAGGCAACTGGAACAAATCCAGGGATGAGACAAACAACCTGAAGCATGGATGAAGCCAACATAGAGACTGTGAACTTGTACACTGGAGTCCCCCACTCTCCCCAGTCACCTTAGTCCCTGCCGCCCCCTCCCTCCCTTGGCTTGGCTTGTGCTTTCTTCTCTCCCTCTCAGGGATCTGAGTCTCTGCCAGGATTCACATGCCATCGAGGCCCACTCTGAGGGCCCTCTGGTGACCACACATACCATTCCCCGCCTCCAGCCAGCAGGCAGCTGGGCCAAGGGTAGGGGCAGGGCAGGCTGTGTAGGGGATGGGATAGGGAGATGAGGCCGAAGGCTAGTGACGGGACTGTGGAACATTCAGTATACATAAAAACAAATCCACACGCAGCAGTTGCTGTCATTTCTGTTGGAAGCAGTCCACTCCCAAACCTCAGTCGGAGCTGCTTGTAGCCAGGCAGAACAGGGCTTTTCCCAAAGCCATTCGCCATTTGTCCAGCTCTGTACACCATGTCAGCTGCAGCCTTTGTACTCTAAAGAGCGGGGCTGAGATTGTGGAGACTGGCCCTAGGGCTTGGCTGTGTGGAAACTTGTATAGCTTCTTTAGGATGAAACTATCTGAACTTAATGTCTAGCCCGTAGAACGTATTCAACAAAAATGTGTTGAATGAATCTATTATGACTGCAGACTGACTTTCCTGCCTTAAACTAATTTTATCCCAGCCTAGTCTCCTGATATCTAGCCTTCCTCATGCTATGCTGTGTTGCTTCAGTCAAACAAGAAACATTCACTGAGGGCTTACTGCTCACCCATTGTAGTGCAATATGCTGTGGGACACATGATACAGTCCCAATCTTTGAGGAGATGGAGAAGTTGAGACATGCTTATGGATTATTACCAATGACCTTGCTAATTTATATGATGCTTAAACATTTTCAAAGCACTTTCATGTATTTTTCGTGTGGTTAGTGACACAATATTGTATAAAACTAAGATATAAGCAGATGCAATAATGTTAATAGTTAGGATTTATTAAATGCACTATCTTCAGATCTTTACATGGAAACTCTCGTTTCTTTCATATGATGACTACTCTGTGAGATACTTTTCCTATGTCGTAGATAAGAACATGGAAAACCAGAAAATGAACAATCCTGAGGTTGCATGGCCTTAAAGGACATAGCTAGAACTTGAACCAGATCTAACTCTGGAGCTCTAGTTAGTAACTGTGCTATCCTTAGTGCATGCTCTCTCTCTCTCTCCATATGTGTATATATATACATATATGTAATCACACATGCATATATAACATATATATATTACATTGGGAAGTCACAGCTGTTTGAGAGCACGACACTGCACTAAGTTGAGAAATGTTCACAGTGGTGACACATGGGCCTCCTCTTATATTTACCCAAGGCAGAAAAAGACCAGAGATCAGAATCCTACTGGCTAGAGCAGTGACCATCCAGGAGGAAACAGCTGACACCTGGAATTATTTCAGCATATTATCTGTTATACTTGCTGATTGGGTCCGAACATAGCTGAACAACCTACCTGGTATTCCACCCTGCCCCAGCAGTGGGAAAGGACCGCAATTACAGGTATGGGCCAAAAGGAGATCCAGAGTTAATTATGTGTTATTTGTTTAAGTAGAGGCTCTGCCATTACAAGATCCAGTAATAGCGGAGGGGCCCACAAACCAGCAGCACAGGTTATAGTTACATAGCTCTCCAAACACTCTAAATGGGAACCTCAAGAAGGTGCTAGAACTACCCAGGGGTCCACAAATGACTCGCTTCTGAAGAAGAGCAAAAGGAAAAAGCCATTCCAGCTGACCAATTCCCTGTTCCTATTCTCACTCCTGCCATAGGCCTATATAGGACTGTTTGCAAAACTACCCCATTCCTAAGCCTCCAGATCAGAAAGTATGCAAGTTGACAAACTGTTAGGAATTGAAGGATAAAAATGAGGTCAGAGGTGGCCTGCAGAACTAGATCAAACTGGCAGGGTCTTCCTTTGATTTTCATGCATCATGATGGACTCTGTGTGAGTATTTCCAACATGGAAGCAAGAGAAAAGTCTTGTTTGATTGACTGAGTTGGAGTGGAGCTGGACAGATGGGAATAAGACTGGCACCATCCCAAGGGGACCTCAGAAGTAGGTGAAGACAACCTCTTGGAACAAGCGTATAGACCATTAGCTTGTCCATTGACTTAGATATACATACTTATGGGAACTTCGTTCACTGTGACCCAAATTTCAATGATCCTCCTCCCCAAAGAAGCTATCTGAGATGTCAACTAATGTTTAGGGTGGCAGATTTCAACTTTAATGAGCATTTGTCCAACAGATACTTTAGAGAGCTGTTGAGCAAAACTAGCTCTGTTTACTTTTCCAAATTTTTTACTTCCTTCCCTCACCCCTCCTAAAAAAAGGGACTGAAATTTAATTACACACTTTGTGGATGTCACTGTTGAACTATGTAAACAGAGCACTAGTCATGGATCTGACCTGCATAGTCATTTTCTGCCTGGATTTTTGTGATAGGCTCTTTTTGTGGAGGGGAACAGAAGGGGAAACCATACATTTTGTTTAATTATGAAAACCTCACATGTAGACACTTGGAGTGGGAGACAAAAATTCAACGCATCATCCTGCCACCCAAGACAACAGAGTTTTATCTTTTGGATATATCTTAGTTCTTTTTTTGAATATATTATGTATATATTCATGCATAGATTTTCGTGTGTGTGTGTGTGTGTGTGTGTGTGTGTTTGTGTGTGTGTGTGTGTGCACACGCGCGTGCTGATACTGGGGTTTGAACTTAGAGCATCATGCTCTCACCTGGCTTTTTTGCTCAAGGCTGGTGCTCTATCATTTAAGCCACACATCCACTTACAACTTTTCAATGATTAATTAGAGATAAAAGTCATGGTCTTTTCTGCCTGGCTGGCTTTGAACCATGATCCTCAGATCTCAGCCTCCTGAGTAGCTAGGATTACAGGCGTGAGCCACCAGCATACAGCAGATTTGCTTTGTTTCTAATGGAAAACTGCATCATACTGCACATCCTCTTCAATAACTTTACTTTTCAAAACATGCATTTATATATTAGAATATAAATATGTAAATAGATTAACTATTCAAAAGTACAAAAAGCTCAGAATTAACTCTTCTCCACTCTCTGCCAACATATAATTCCTCTCCAATTTCACAGATAAACATTTTCAAAACCATATATATGTATATATATGCACATATACATGTTCTTTGATCACACAAAAAAGTAGCATAGCAGACATGTCTTTGCTCTTCCGTTTACTTCATTGAATATATGAAGAATGCTTTCTGCATGTCTTTCAAACTTTACCAAAAGCACCTTCACTATGGTAGTCCCTCATTTTGTAGTGAGTCCCCAAACGTTAATTTCATTGGTTCCCAGTCACTATGATAGGTAATGATGTAGCACACTTTCTTGCCACTGACTTTTGCACCTAAACAACCATTTCCTGAGGATATAATCCTAGCAGGAAATTGTTCAGCTATTTTTTAAGGATTTTGATATATGTTGACAGCTGACACCCCTTCCCCAATCCCCAAGAGTTTGTACCAAACATGGTCTTATTGGTAGTCTCCAGAGTATCCTATTCCTAGGGCCCTATTACTAAAAGTTGTCACTTAACAAATCTTGTCCAGTTTGATAGGCAAAATAATTGTACGTCAATGTTATTTTAACCTGTCATTTTACCTTTCTTTGGCTATTAGTGAATAACGTTCTCATATGCTTATTGACCATCTATACTTCATTCTTTGTGAAATTTCTATTTATTTGATATTGGTATGTTTTTATTATCAATTTGTAATTTCAAGAATATTATTTTTGTGAAGAAATGCTGCCAATATGCTTTCCAAGTGCTTTGCTTTCCAATTTTGTTCATGGTGCTTTTTGACACGCATAAATTCTGAATACCACAATTCATTTGTTCCTCTATTGCCAGCTTTTCCTGCCTACAGTTTATTATCTTGTTTCTGTCAGAGCGGCTCTTCTAAAATGTAATTTTATCATGAGTTTCACAGCTTTAAAAGTTTTGTAGCTAAATATCACATTTAGGATAAAGGCCAAAATGCGTATATAACACAGAACACCACGTCTTTCGTGCATTTTCTCCCTCTGACTTTTCTTACCCTCTTTTCCAAGGCATTCTACTGTGGCACAGACTGGAGCCGTTGTGCTGGGGCTGTGGAACTTTGCATGCTGCTCCTTCTGCCTAAATGTCTATTTCACATCCTTCCACCTTCTCTTTGCCTTAATTAAGTCTTGGCTTAGGATCACGGCTTCAAAGTCATGGCCTATTCTCCCAAAGGAACCCAATCCTACCTCTGTCCAGTGTCTGCTACAACTAATTATAATTTTCTACTTACATTCATCCCTCCCGCTGCCTGGGTATTCCTCAAGAGATTGCAGCCCAATGGTCTAGCACAATGCCTGTGCATTATGGGTGCTCAAAAGCTGTTGAGTGTTGAGCCTAAACTGGATGAATAATGGACTAGATCTGTGCTTCTGAGAAATGAAGATGTCCTGGGAGACTTACGTCAGGAGAGGAGGCATGTGCTCTAGGCCTGTGCCTTCTAAAACATGACCACTGGATGAGCTCTTTAAAAACTGACAATCCAAGGCACCACCTCAGACGTGGTGAATCAACTCACAGCATGCTAGAGGCACTACAGTGTTTAGAACATTAGAAAGAGTTTTTGACATCCAGACATGTTCTGGGGCACCACCTCAGAGACTAGCAGACTCACTTCCAAGTGCTTTGCTCCACCATTTCAAATCATGTTACCTTTTGGGGTAGCTAGATGAATACCAGCTTAGATACCAGCTTAAACACAGCTAGGAGACTAGCTGTTCCTAGCTGTGTGCCCCTGGGGAAGCTGCTTAATTTTTTTTTTTTTTTATCTCTGGATCTAGACACTGCCCCTGAGTTTTTGTGCTCAAGACTAGCCCTCTACTACTTTAGTTACAACTCTACTTTTGAATTTTTTTGATAGCTTTAGTAGAAATAAGAGTTTCAGGAAGTGGCGCTGTAGCTCAAGTGGTAGAGCGCTCGCCTTGAGTTGAAGAGCTGAGGGACAACGCCCAGGCCCAGAGTTCAAGCCCCATGACCGAAAAAAAAAAAAAAAAACTATATAGAAATAAGAGTTTCATGGACTTTCCTGCTTGGGCTGGCTTCAAACCACAACTCTTAAATCTCAGCCTCCTGCATAGCTTGGATTATAGGCATGAGCCACCAATGCCCAGTCTGTTTAACCTTTTTGACCTAGTTTTCCTAAACTACACATGGAGATGTGATAGACCTTAAAAGAGAGTTGAGAGGGGGAAGAAATAATCCTCTCCTAGCTCAGTTCCCACTACAGAGTAGCCATAGGATATTTCACCTCCTTCCCCCTCCCTCCTCAGCCTCAGTTTCCTCATTTATGATGTGCTTGCTACCTGCTTGCCTCCCTCTTTCTACACTCCATACTCCAGAAGAAAGAGGCCTTCCTACAAGCCCTTAGATATCTCTCTGGTCCTCAGGCAAAGCAAAGGCTCTACAGTAGTCTGTGAGAATAATTCTGATGGATTCCAGAATCGTTTTCTAGTCATATCAAAAAAAAAAAAAAGCAACATGCTTTGCTTCCTAACAGTCCACCCTAGCAGGCAGCAGCCTCTGCGCTGTAAGGAGAAGGCATTGTCAGGAACTAAAGTGGTCAATGCCCACTCTCCTTCCATTGCTCTTGATGGCCTCATCGGGAAAACCAAGAATGGTGGGAATGAGGGTGAGGTCGAATAGCTGATGGACAGCTGCTTGGATTAAGATGCCCCACTTCCCATTTCCAGTGCCCGCACCAGCCTGGGGTGAGCAGCAGAGACAGGGGGAAATGCACACAGCCCATCAGGCATGGCAGAGTTCAAATTACCAAGTCAGCATGAAAAGTCTCACTCTAAATGGACTGAAATTAGATTCTATTAAAAACCACACTCAGCAAGGCCTTGGGCTATTAATATTTGCTAAGACATGGAGGAGGGAGAGAAGGTGGAGGCCCCTGAAAAAGCTGCTGGTG